ATGCACGAGCAGCTGGATATGAACAGGTGGAAATTACGCAGCTCATTTACACACTTTTCCTGAAGACAGAAGAGTTTGTTGAATCTGACGTGACATGTTCGAATGAACCCTTCATACGAACAAAAGTAAGAGAAATTTAGGATAAGAATATGAACATGTTCTTTCATGAGGCCCATTGACCGTTAATTATGTCCACAGAATTATTCAGACGTCCTCGAAAGTGCCCACATCCAAAAAGGGCAAAGGATTTAAGCTTTATATAATATAATACGTCTAACTACGAAGGTAAATAGGTAATTTGTTTTTCAGTTCACCAAACYGCCTCATATAGGCTACATGTAACAGCTAACATAGCTAATCTTACAAAGTGTTTGTTTTTTGCTCAAATAACTGGACTTCCATTGTTGGATCTTGAAGACATTTTTAGTTTCTAGGCTGCATGTCTTAAAGGTCTGCATATTCTATCCTCTTCAGCTGACTTCTTGACCGTTCTGAGCTCTCACAATGTGCTTTTTTTTTTCTTCATTTCATCAACTGTTCACCAGCCAGATGCATCAAGTTGTTTTTCAGCCACRGACATGGAGATAATAAATCAACTGAAGAGCATTAGTGAGCCATCAGTTTGATGAAGACCCATGTGAGGCAAACCCACTTTGAGAAGAAAACTTTTTTCGTTGTTTTGTTTTAATAAAAATATCTTTGTATCTAACAATTGTTTTCCTAAACGGCTTTTTACCACGTGATCAAAAACTGGCACTTTTGTTATTAATAAAAAATAAAGGCAAACTGACCTATTTCCATTCATAGCTTGGAAGAATAAACTACATTTTCTAGTTTTATAATAATTATGTAACTAAATCAGCTAAATGAAGTTTTATACTTTCTATTAAACTAAAGAAACATAATTAGTTTAACTGTTTCTGATGTTCTACTCAGAAGCTTGTTTCTGATCATGAAAAAATTGCTAACTTATTTAATGAATATTTTATTTCTTCAGTAAAGACATTACCGGGACAAGCTAATAGTTTAAAGTTATTTAAATATCCTGACACTTCAAAGCAATTTTCATTTTCTGAAATTTCACAGAGTGATGTTTTGAATACACTCCAATCTCTAAATGACTCACATGCATTTGACAAATATAAGATAAATATGGATTTCTTGAAAATGCATGCCAACACTTTTTTACCATTGTTTCATCACTTGCTTAATTTATGTATTGTGCAGTCTAGTTTCCCTGATGCCTGGGAGTTTGCTCAGATTACTCCCATTTTTAAATCTGGTGATCCAACAGRASTTTCAAACTATCGGCCAATTTCTGTTCTTCCCATTTTTTCTAAGTTACTTGAAAAAACATTATTTAATCAACTACTTCAGCATCTAGAAGCTAATAATATGCTAAGCAATAGCCAACATGGTTTCCGCACGTCAAGGTTAACCATGTCTGCATTAATTTTATTCACTGAACAAATACATGCTGCTTTGAACAAAGGTCAAGTAACTGGTGCTGTATATATTGATTTTCGTAAGGCGTTTGACACAGTTGATCATTAAACTCWCTTACAAAAGTTGATTTCTTTTCAACTTTCATCATCTGCAATACAAATGTTTTCCTCTTAATTGACTGATAGGTGTCAGGTTGTGAAACATGGAAGCTCTGTGTCCGGGTCTCTGCCCTGTTCCGTGGGAGTTCCGCAGGGTGGCGTACTGGGCCCATTGCTTTTCCTATTATACATAAATGACCTTCCAAAAATATTGAAGTATTCAAATATTTTAATGTATGCTGATGATACTGTTCTTTTTTTGTCTGATTTCAATATTGAATCTATTAATAGTCAGTTACAAGCAGATCTTCAGGCATTTCATGGTTGGCTTCAAGATAATMTTTTGTCAATTAATGTTAAAAAAACTGTGTGGATGTATTTTTCCTCACCCAGGAGACATTTCAATATAAAAAATCGACTCACTTTTTTAAACAAACCCCTTGATATTGTCACTACCTACAAATATCTTGGAATTACTTTGGATTCTCATTTGACTTATCATGATCATGTACAAGTCTTAACCACTAAGTTGAAACAGAAATTATACGTTTATTCAAAAATTAGATCCAATCTGACATCTTCCGTTTCAAATATCTATCTTCATGCCATTATACTCTCCACCAT